TCATATTGGTAGGAAGACTAATTGGAATGCACCTAGTTCGGGGTCCATTGTCTGCATGATCATTTCCAAACGTTTCGCCAACATCGTAGTCGGCATCTCAGTGAGTATCGCCATCCTAAGCACCATACAGCTATTCGTCAAAGAGACAAACGATCCTTTGACCAAACGTATGCTAAACAATTATGGTATCTCCCCTTCCGCCCTGGGTTGTCCGCGTTTCTGGTAGCATCCTATTAGGTTGAGAAAATAAGGTTAAACAACCTCTAAGAAAAGACAAGTTGCGTCGCCTTATTTTTGCAGGCAGCTCAACTTCCTCTCTGTCCTTCAGTCTATTAATTAAACACAAATAGAAGTTGTTTGACCTTGTTTTTGCAACTCGTTCATATTGGTATGAAGACTTAAAGGAACGCACCTAGTCCGGAGTCCATTGTATGCATCATTATTTCCAAAGTAGGACCGTGGACGTGGTACATTTCCAGAAGTTTCGCCGGCATCGTCAGTGAGTCTCGCCATTCGTAGCACCATATTACAAACTCGTCAATGGGACAAGTGAAGCCCATCCTTTGACCAAACGTGTGCTAAATAGTTATAGTATCTCGCCTTCTGCCCTGGCCTATTCACATTTCCTATATCCTCCTATCATGCCTTTCGTGTCACTGTTTTTACGATGCTTATTCTTAATGTAGTGTCGTGTGCTGCTTCGAGCGACAGTCATGAAAACCATTCACACTTCACACTTTCGTTATCACCCACTTCACCCTTGTGCTGGGAATGTCGACCAGAGTATGTCATATTGTTACGTAGTCCTTCCCTGGGTCCTATCAAAGTCTTTCTCTTGCCCTGTCGAATCCGTCTGCAATATCCCTGGTTAACGTATTTCACTCGGCCCCTGCCTCCCCCATCTGTGCTATTCGAGGCGTAATTCGTCCATCCCTTGCGCCTGGGGTGATTAATTAGAGGCTAAAGCCTCAGAGTAAGTGTCATGGTCATGCCTTTGCTAAATGGACCACATCTCTTATAAAATCTACTGTCAGCTAACTAGCTCCAATCGCCGCCTCGTCTATCCTGTCTCTATCCCTAATACCAAGTCTATGATTTGCCATGCCCTAGTTGCTTGTGCGTCAACCCACAAACGTTGTGGTTCAACATTGACCTGATCAAAGCCAGCATATATATCTAATAATTAGTTTATTGTAGTTATAGCGCTTA